GCCGGGGGTGCTCACCCTGTGGTCTGTGTGGGTCCTAATGTCCCAGTATAGTGACGGGGACACTATACTATCAAAGAGCACCGTCCTTCGGATGAGATGGGTGTTCTAGCGCACTATGGCTGCCGTCGCATCATCCAAGTGGATGCTGCACATTGGTGGTGGTTGAGGAGATTCCCCCTTCCATGTGAAGCGCTTTGAGTGCCTAGAAAAGCGCTATATAAATGTAATGAATTATTAATTAATTATAAACAGTAATACTGAAGCAGTAACTGTCTATAAGGGCCAAGTGTCGTTTTGCCTTCTCTCATTTAGAGAGTAATTCTGCTGAGACAATGTCATCCACGCAGACAATATTATCATTTAGCTCTTTGGAGCCTTTTTGATGAGATTATTGTTGGCATAGGGTGGAGTTAGGTTTTTGTTCAGTATAGACAGTAAGCTGATACGGCCCTCTCTCGTTCAGAGAGCCATTCTGCTGAGGCCTCCGCTCGATAGAGCTCCGCACAGGCAGTATCATCAATTGAGTGGTTCTTTGGGCCCCTTTGATGGGACTGTTTCTATCATTTAGACGTCTTTGTTCTGAGGCCTCCGCTCTAAGAGCTTCGTATAAGCAGTGGTATTGGAGTGTTAGGCTCTTAGGGACCCTCTTCAGTTACTGTCTTTAGGGTTGAGGGTAGTAAGGCCACCTCTCACTCAGAAAGTCATTCTGTTGAGGCCTCTGCACTCCAGAGCTCTGTACAGACATTATTTTTAATAAGAATGTAGCAGTAGCAAGTTGTTAGGCACTATGTGTGCCTCCTTGATAGTTATTCTTAGCACAAGGCATAGTTAGGCCTCCTCTCGCTTTAGAGAGTAGTTATGTTGAGGCTTCTGTCCTTAGAGCTCTACTAAGCAGTAGTGCTAAGTTGTTAGGCTCTCTGTGAACATCCAATGATGCTACCGTTTTGATTTAAAGCATTGCTAGGCCTCCTCTCGCTATAGAGATTGATCCTTTTCAGGCCTCCGCTCCCCAGTGCTCCGCCTAAAAACAATTCCAAGTTGTTAGGCTTGTACCTCCTTGGAAGCTGTCTCGTAGAACATAGTTAGGCCTCCACTCACTGTAGAGAGTCATTATACCGAGGCCTGCATTCTCAGAGCCATATTCAGTAAACCATACAGGCTGTTGTACTAGAAATTGTAGGCCCTTTTGTAGCCTCCTAGGATACTGTCTTTATGGATTTTTGAAAATGACCTTTCATGTAGTGCATAACATAGCTCTAAGTGAATGAAAACATCCTGCAAAGTTTTAAGTCTGAAAGTGCACCGTATATAAATGTATTGTCTTTCAAAAGTAAGAGTCGACTGTGAGTCAATGAAATGAATCGTTTTAATAAGCCGTTTCGTTGTGACGTCAAGACGAAACATTAGCATATTGCCCGCCCACTTATTGCGCGCGCAGACACCAGGGAAAACTTGAACCTCAAACCGGCAGCTGATTCCTGTGGATACTGGATAGCGTCATGTCGAGAAGACCCTGTGCTCTACAATGTGAAGATAGGCTACAGCCAGTTTTTTTTCACTGCCCAAGGACGAGCATGTGAAGAATCAGTGGTTAAAATGAATCTTTACCACAATTTCACAGCAGTATAATCCTAAACCTTTGCGGTGTTCCCTTTATTTTACTGACGACTGCTTCTCAAATCTCGGAGTTAATGCAGGATCCGCAAACCGCTTGCTCTTGAAAGATGGTGTTCAAAATACTCAGTTTTGAGTTTGATATTGTGTAGGTCTCCTGCTAACTGGCTAACTCATGTTATCACTGTCTTACTGAAATACTTCTGCTAAGTAGCTGTGGGCCACTATTACCTAAAACTGTGTCTGTCGTTCTCACTACTTTGAGGAAAGATTAAGCATGAAGCAAGATTTGTTTTACCAACGTTTATGTTACATCAGTCATTCACGCTAGAGCTCGGCTAATGTATACATTGCATACATGCACTGTTATTGATACAGTTTCCACATGTTCACCGCAATATATTAGAAAAATACTCGGTAAATAAATAAGTACAAGTAAAAGTACAAGCAACATCTCATAATGTACCTCAAACTGAGTAGCGTATCACTTAGAAATGTCTTGCTCGAGCTGTCCTTGCACTGGAGGTTCGGGTTTAATGAATAGTTCGTTGGTCTGTTTAGGTTACGGCCTCAGGACAAGCAGATCTGATGTTGTTATGGCAATGGCCCTTTTTTCCGACGCGCTGTACGTGGTAAACCAATCACAACAGACTGAGCTGTCTGGCCAATCAGAGCAGAGTAGCTCGCGGAAAGGAGGGATTTAGAGAGATTGATTCATCTGACGAGGCGTTTGAGAATCATTGAAAATGTGGTGATGTGCAAATGTATATTATGAGGAAATGAAACAGTTTTTTTTACCTTTGATGCATGTAAAGCTGTTGTAGGAGACTCCAATACAACATTAGGAAACTTTAAAATAGCATAATAGGGGCACTTTAAGGTTGAGTATCGTTATGCCTCCTCTTATTACAGAAAGTTGTTCTGCTGAGGCCTTCACTCCCCAGAGCAAACCAGTCTCAAGTGCACAAGTAGTAATGTTAAGGTGTTTGACTCTTTTGGTAAAGAAAGATGAACCTCTTTGATAAACTTCTGACTTAAAGTGTAGTTAGGGCTCCTCTCGGTTAGAAAGTTCCACTCTTTGGGCTCTGTTTAGTGTGTATGGTTGAGCGCAGTAGTACTCCCATCGCTCTTGAGGGTTGTTATGCCGAGTACTTCGCTCTCTAGAGCTCTGATTGACGGTCATATCAAGTTGATCAGCTTTTTGAGCCTCCTTGATGAGCTGTTCTCAAGGTAGAGTCTGGCTAGTACTCCCCTCACTGTAAAGGGCCATTAGACAGGTACTCCACTCCCTACAGCTCCGTGCACTTATAGTGACCAGTTGCTAGGGTCTCTGCGAGCCTCCTTGATGTATAGATCCTGAGGAGGCCTCTCGGCGGCCTGGTAGAGTCAATCTACTTTCCAGGACTGTCGTCTCTGGATTCTGGTGTGAAGTGGTATTGTCTTTTGGAATCCAATCCCTTCTCATTGGTGAGGGTGCTAATCTAGAGTTTCTGCTTAGGCAGACAGGCCATAGGCTTTTTCTGCTAATACAGTGGAACTAGTGTCCCTGGTGGTTTTAGGGGTGACGCTGTTGTCCCCTTGAGGTGACATGCTGGGGTTAATGTACTTTCGCCCTGGCCAGGTTCCCTTTAAGGAATCTCATTTAAAGTATGATTCCAAACCTTTTAAACTTTACCCTTGGGCTAAACTTATCTGACCCTGCGAGGAATAGAGCAAGGTACTGTGTCTTCCTCATTTAGAGTATGTATTTTAAGTAGTGGCCGAAGGGAATAGTGTAACTGACAACCAACTGGTATGTCCTTTGGGGAATTTTCGATTCCCACAGGTTGGTCAATGTTGAGGCTTATGTTACAAGGCATACATTCACCTCAGCATAGTGGAGTGGTTATTTGTTCCCAATAGTGTCCTTTAGTGGACGCAGTGCGAGTTCCCATTCGAAAGGGAACGTCTCAGGTTACGCATGTAATCATGGTTCCCTGAGAAGGGAAACGAGACTCTGTGTCTCGTTGCCATGCTTCTTTGATGCCTGCAACGTCTCATCCAGACAAAGAAGTGGGTGCCCTTTTTATACTCATGGTCACACCAGTAATGACTTTATAGGCTGTCTCTGGCACCGGTCATGCACCGGTTATGCTGGAAGCATTTCCCATACTGTCCTCTAGAGGACACAGTGTCTCGTTCCCCTTCTCAGGAAATCATGGTTACATGTGCAACCTGAGACGTGTTTTCATGAAGGCTCCCTCAAAATATGAAAATTTTAGATAATGTGTAGATCCAGCAGTGGATATTTTCTGGCCATGTTTAAAATGGAACAAAGCTTTTGGAGATGGAGATTGGAGATGTCCTTTTTTCGTATATGATTTGTGCTTAATTTTTTTCCAACCACAAAAAAAAAAAAAAAAAACTGTCACATGTCAAATCAAACACCTATTTCATTGAACATACTAGTATCAGACAGAAAGACAGACACAACTTCATATAGCTCAGATACATTTTTGTGTACTTGTGATGTACACAAAAAATACAAGAGACATACATTGGCTGCAATTTAATGTGAAGTACCAATGTAACATGCATGATAATTTTTGTCATGGGCTTCAATAAAACTATTTAATTCTTATTTACATTGTCCTTCATAGTCGGTAAGTCAAAGGCATTCATTTCTGTTTGCTTAAAGGTACACTCAGTAAAAAAAAAAAAAGGATTTCTTAAAAGTTTTACACAAAGTAATTATTGAAAAAGTATGGATGCTCTGCTAAAAGCTGTTTTATTTTACATAGCGTGGGTTGCCTCATGGACATGTTGGGCAGACATGTTGAGATCACATGACCAGACAGATACTACTTTATCTTGGCTGTTATCAGACACTTTCGCTCAAGAAATAAATTAATTACATTTGACTGCGAACAGCACATTTCTACAACTGAAACCTTTTGCTTACATTGTATATTTCTACGCTCCAGGCCCCTAGGTGTCAGTATACGTCCAAGATGACCAGTGCAACATAAACAAAACATTACAGAGTGCACCTTTGATATCTTTGTGTTCTGGCTTTATAAAACCGCTGGTGGTATTTCCACCTTATTTATACTTTACAATAGCTATCCCTTTATTACCAATTTCTCAAAACAAATAAATATTATTGACTAAATAAATACTTGAATATACAGATCTGTAAGCATTTTGTAACCAGTTGCTCACCTCTAAATTGATATAATAGTGTGATTTTGACATTCAGGTCCCTGCTTGCATAAAAGTCTCTGTGGCAAGATCCAATTGCCGATCTCAAATTCGCTTCAATTTTTTAATCGATAATTAATCACATTCACACTCCAACTCCAAAGAGAATAAACATGTGCTTGCACACTCAGTCTACTGCCATAAATAATGGAGACACACAAATAAAACTCTACTTTTACATTCATTTGAACCTCCATTTTCTGTAATGAGTTTTACTTCCATACTGCCTTAAAAGTGTGGCTTTGTATATCCATCATTTCACATGGCAGTGAAAGATGGCACTAACCTCTTGTGAAATCTTACATCTCTCCTCCTCTTCGTGTGCAATGAATAATGTCCTCAGCAGTGCAATATCTTTATGAAAGCCTTTCTGAACTCCACATTGAAAGTGGTATATATGATGGGGTTGACGGCGCTGTTCACATATCCCAGCCAAGTAAAGGCATTGTACATTTCCAGTGGCACCACGCAGCTCGTGCAGTGAGTTTTCAAAATGTGAGTAATAAAAAAGGGCAGCCAGCAAATAATGAAAACACCTGCAACAGAGAAAATAATCTGTGGTATTCTGAGGACAAGACCTTAATCTAGGTCTTACGGCTAAGCAATACTTCTATAAAATGACAGCATCGTGATCTCACCTAGAACAATGGCCAGCATCTGAGTAGCCTTCTTTTCTTTATGCTGATAAATCTTCCTCTTGCTCATGGTTTTGGTCACTGTAGTTCGCGTTTTGCCATTGGGCAGTACCTGAGTTTCAACAGGTTTGGCTTCTTTAGGGGTCTGGACCTCCTTGGCATGGCCATTTTTCTCATCTCCATTTGACTGACATTCATCGTGGGAGGGAGAGGCATGGATGGGGCTCTGGTTGGCCAATAGGTCAACGACCGGAGTGGATGCCTGTTTCTTTTTCTCTAGAGGGCTGCTGCCGGCCACAATATCCACCCCCACATCACAACCCTGGTGCAGGACCTCCTTTATCAGTTTCTGTTGAAGATTTATTTATCATTAATTGTATAATGACACTTTGAATCTGTACAGTATGTCATGTACTAGTAGACCAACGTAGGAAAAAAGTAAACAAAATAAATAACTGAAAATGATGTTACGTGTGAAAATAAAAATAAAAAGGGCATTCAAGCTTATTTGCCTTAACCTGACAGTTTCTGACAGTGGTAATTGGTGACCTTATGGCCTCTCATTAACTATTCACATTTAATATAGAAGCTAAATCAATGCTTATTTAACACAGGAAGGCTGTCAACATGGATGTATGACTCACAGTAATCCAAGTATAATCCATCTGATGTGATATATGACTCACAGTAACCCAACTGTAACAAACATGCAGTTTATGAAAGAGAAGACTTCACAGACAGAGTGTACCTCTATAGTGAAGAAAAAGTATACTTAAGCACAATTTATTCGTATGTACTTTGGTATATCTAAATTTATTTGTGCCACACAATAAATTGGTATACTTAAAGTCTGTTAAATTGGAACAATTCATTTTGTACTAAATGCATTTTTATTGTCCAAAAGCAGTGCTGAAGTTCAACTAAAGTTGTATTAAATATACTTGTTTGTGCTAAAGTGGAACTATTCCAAGTATACTTAATTACACTTTAAATATACTCTTGCATTTAAGTTTTGAAATGCAGAATTCACTCAGCATAAACCTCAAATGTATTTTGGTGACATTACAATTACAATTCAATTACACTGTAAGAGCCAGATATACTAACAGCTTGCACCAACGCAAACCCGTTAACCCGTTGGCGTTAAAAATCTACTGTCGGGATTTACTTACAACTGATGAGCATCAGCTCTGCTTATTTGCAACCCAATGCTGATTTGCGCTGCACTTGGTATTGTGTTAGTCATTATGTAAATGATTTGACTGCGTCTGTGTTCTTTAATTTACGTGTCAGCAGTAGATCACACGCAAAACGTCTCAGGTTATGACTGTAACCATAGTTCCCTGAGATAGGGGAAATATCTAAATCTAAAACTATTGCAAGGTCCCAAGCCGGCACCCTAGTGCGAGTTGCAGGCCTCAGCCTCAATGTGCCACGAAGGAAACGTGTGATCAGTGGGTCTCGACCCAACGATGTACCACCCACCTGGGCGTGGAAAGCCGCTATGGCCGCCACGTATACCTTGAGCATGGATGGACATAAACCTGACGTAAAGCGTTCTTGCAGAAACTCAAGTACTGTGTTCACTGAACAGTTAACCGTTTTAATCCATTTTAGCGTAAAGCGTAAAGCGTTCTTGCAGAAACTCAAGTACTGTGTTCACTGAACAGTTAACCGTTTTAATCCATTTTAGTGCATAAAGTTTCCTCGTAGCGGGAGCTCTGGAGCTTAGAATGGTCTCAACAACCTCGGTTGAGAGACCACTCTCTATGAGTTGGGCCCCCTCAGGGGCCAAACCCACAGTTTCCAAATCCCCTGCCGGGGGCGCAATATTGCTCAATATAGTCTCTCCTGTTCGGGCTCTTCAAGGTAGGGCCGTCGAGGAGAAGAATTAGGTCCAGGCTCGGCCTCTATGCCCCCCGAGGCTGCCCTCTTTTGAAGTTGAGACAGCCAGTTCGGGGACCTGAAGCATATTTTTGAAACCCCCTCAGAGGGAGCGAGTCTGACGCAATGTCGAGTTGACACTGCGCCAAAGGCTCGCTGGAGACCGCTGCGCCCCGCAGCACCAAGGGTGGCGGGGTTGGCAGAACGGTCCCATGAGGACACCGAGATGAAACGGGCACCGTATAATGAGGTGTACACCGTTCCACCCCAGTTGGGGCTGCCCTCACTGGTCTGACGCCGGTGGCGCCATTTCTTTTGAGCCGAAGCCTTCTCAGCGTGAAGAACGGCCCTCGGAACCGGCTTCTGCTTCGAAGGCTTTGGCTGCTGTGGTGCGTATGAGAAACTAGACGGCTGGAGCTGCTCACACCCAGCAGCCCCCGGGGGTTTGGACATAGCGAGGGAGAGATATTTTAACCGCCTCTGACTGTAATTTGGCCTCCAGGAGACTCGACGACCGAAATAACCGCGTCGCCGAAGAGACCAGAAGGATTGATGGGAGCATCAAGAAAAAAAGCTGTATCTTTCTCCTTGATCTCCGTCAAATTGAGCCAGAGGTGTCTCTCAGTGGCCACAAGGGCTGCCATAGACCGCTCGGTTGCTCTGGCGGTCTCCTTAACCCTTTAGAACCGGCTGTGTCGTCGCCGACACAGATCAGCAAGCTGTATTCATTGTACCGTAACTCTTCAACCGTTCACACTATCAAAACCATTCAAATTGCCCCTGACAGGAGACAACATGCGCTTTTCGGCAATATACGGCTTATTATGGTAATTTCGTAAGCAAATGACAGCAGCTTTCTGGCAAAGCAGGAAGGAAGGATTTGAACAGAGAGATACGAAGCGCGGCAGGTTAGAGTGTTTTAGATTGCATACAATAATAAAAGAAACTAACAAATACATGGCGAAAGAAGTGGTAGACAGCAGAAGAGGGGATTGGGATGATATTTAATGAAACTTGGGAGGCGGATGGCCGTTACTCTTTCACGTATCTTTACATGTGGTGTATGCATGTGTAACGTTATGTGTGTGCGTGCCTATGAATGGACGCATTTGGATGTGTGCGTGTATGAAAAAAAGTGTCCTAAATGAAAACTGTGCAACCCAATGTCACAAAAAAGACTTGTATAGATGTATTATACTTCATTTTTCAACTTTAAAGTGTTAGTATCTTTCGTTCGTAATTTTTCTGTTTTTTTTTTCTAAATAAAAATCAGAAAATGTATTCTCGTTTTTTTTATTTTTGTCTATTTAAATTCTATTTACAAACTGTAATTTGTTGAAAGCTAATCTTTTTCTGAAAAAGATGACATCTTGCACATGAAGATGGCACATTTTACAGTCAAAATTCACAGTCAAAAAATCTAAATTTGTGAAAAACACCTATTTTAGCTTCAGGTTCTAAAGGGTTAATAGCCCTGAGAGATAAATCTGTGGCCCGACGAAGTTCTCGAACTCCATCGGGCCTCACTTCCTCACTTCTGTACAAATCCCCCAGCAGGTCAGCCTGATATGCTTGTAGTACTGCCATAGTGTGCAAGCAGGCTCCGGCTTAACCCACTGCCGTATATGCTTTTCCCACTAGATTAGAAATAGATTTTCTAGACGCCTTCAGGGACGATGCTGAACCGGGAGATAGCTCGCAAGCGTCTGTTCTACCCGGGGCATCGCCCCATATCCATACTGTCATGATTCTGCCATCATGTTATTGATTATTCCTAGTCTTGTGGCAGGATCATGACAGAACCAATGTTTTGTGTACAAGCGCATGGCCAATTGTTTGGCCATGTGCTTGTGTTGTCTCGTTACGTTACCCCGCCCTCTTGTTATCCCGTCTCGTCATTATTGTCTAGTCAGTTTCACCTGTCCTTGTCATTAGTGTTCCCTTTATAATCCCCTTGTGTTTGCTGTCCTGTGTCGGTTCATTGTTTGATGTAAGTGACATATGTTGTGTGCATCTAGCTGTTAGTAACTTGTTGGAAGTCTTGTTTAAGAGAAATCTTTGTTCCTGTCTTAGTTGTTAGTTTATTATCTTAGTCTTAGTCTAGTGTATCCTTTCTTGTTTTGCCCCATCGAGGGTTTTGTTTTCTGTTTTTGTCATCAATAAACCCCTGTTTGTATTATTTGCTGTCTGCGCTTGGGTTCACCTTCCACCGTCATAACACATACTCTCTCAACCCCCTAATATCTGAATATACATGAACTTGGGGGCTGTTACAAGATGAGTAAGGTTTTTCCCATGATCTATTCTAGACAGCTCGCTGTGCAGATCAGGAAAAAATGGAAGGCGCCGTGATGGGGGTGAAACAATAGAGGGAAGGAAGCGCTTTTCTCTGCTGGCCATTCAATATTTAATTTATCTACAGCCCTAGTAATCACCTCCACCAGCTCCTTATACGCTGGGGAAAGAGATGGCGAATCCTCTTCCCCCAGGATTGTGTCACTTTCAATGCCCAGCACATCTACCTCCTCGGAGGTAAAGCACTGAAGCATTGGTCTCTCTCCCTGGGCGGAAGAACCTGCGGGCGGGCCTCCGAACGGAGAGAGAGCAATGGATCTCTCGAGAAAGGGAGGAGAAAAGATCCTCGGACCCGTCTCCAACCCCGTAAAGAGATCCATTTGCGATCCCCAGGAATGCATTCTCCTGCACCCTGAGAACCGCGAGCCTGGCCACTTTCCTCGAAAAGTGACAGGCGGGAGCGGAGCATGCGAAGCGAAAACTTCTCACAATGTTGGCAATCAGCCCCTTCGAAGGCTGATACCGCATGTTCCACTCCCAAACACATCACACAAAGCTTGTGTGTGTCCCCACTCGTTAAATAACGCAAGTAAGGAGAAACACAGAGATTGTGCAATTGTTTCGCCATAGTGTTTAGATATATATAACAGACAGATTGGCACAGATCGCTTGCTGAGGCAACAGAAGCTTATGCCGGTTTGCACCGGATCCACTTTATCTCTTCCTGGTCATGACGTCACCCACCCGTGACGCTCATTCTTTCCATTGGACTAGTTGACATAGATGCTTCAGACACATTCACGCTGGAGGCGTTCCCAAAGCGTCATCGACGCATCGCGAGTTCCCTCGAAAGGGAACTTACCAACTCCCATCGGCGCATTTCTGGAATTGCACTCTCACGCTAATTTGCCCAGTTTAGTAAATCTGGCCCTTAGAGTGTTGAACATACATTAATATTATACTGATAATAAACTTTTAGTGATTTTAAAACGTAAAATTTTCAAGCTTTCAATAGATGTATTTCTCATGTCTGTGAGGAAATTTCATGCTGTGTTTCCGTTTATTTTTTGACGCGCCCAAGTTCACAGAGACTGAAGCGGTAGAAAGTGCTTCCTGTTTGTTTTCTTCATTTTACCAAAACACAACTTTTAGTTATTGTAAGTGCACACAACTAAAATTTGTCAGTTTCGAATGACGTATTAGGCTACTTTTTATTTAAGAGCAAAAATGACGGAGTATTTTAAGTTAAATGCAAGTGATTGCGCCTGTGCCTACATGTCATGCTATGCAGTAAGCGTGCTATCCACACTCCGGACAAAAACTTGAATATACGCCTAATAATAACGTACGTTTATATAGGTTAACATTAAAGCCAGAAGCCATGTGTTGCTACTACTTACATGTTTCAAATGATAAGCCTTATTTGAGGTAGATGTTTTCCTGCACATACCGTAATTACCACAAGGATCTGCCATTAGCGATCTCTCCCTCACAGACTGCGTGACTTCGCCATGAGTTTGTTTTTTCTTCTTCGACTAACCGCTAATAAAAATTTTGGTCAACTCAGCCCAGAGATGCTCACGAGTCTCTGAACTAGAGTCCAAGTCAAGTCTCAAGTCTCTGAACTAGAGTCCAAGTCAAGTCTCAAGTCTCTGAACTAGAGTCCAAGTCAAGTCTCAAGTCTTTGAGCTAGAGTCCAAGTCAAGTCTCAAAACTAGAGTCCAAGTCAAGTCTCAAGTGGTTATAATAAGTGTTGCATCACGTACAGCGACCCATCCAGGCTGCTTAGAACACTTCATAGCTATATAGGCATTCAAAGCATGTAATGTTATTATGACTCCTTTATCTATTAGCATATAGTATCAGCTTTGATTTAGATATATAATCAGTGTAAAAAGGCATGACAAAAACACCAAGAATGCTGTACTTTTAAGTTAATATCTGCATCTGTAAAAATTGAGGTTCTGAAGAAAAAGGACTCTCATGTCTGTTGCTGAATTATAATGAAAGGCCTTGGCTCCTATTGTGCTGGCTCTGTGGAGCTGGAGCCATAAGACCAAATATAGAAAATGTTATAGCCTACCTCACAGCACTAAAATTGACATAGTGGAAAACATCACAGTGTAGCTAAATGCAAAACACTATTGGAACCAAATGATGTGAAATACATGGTTCCTCATACGTTCATATATTTATGGCGGCCCGCCACAATATCAGCACTGGCTGACCGCCACACATTGATTTTCGATTTTTTATTTTATTTTTACTAAGCCTATTTAAAATCGTATTTGATTGCAGAGCGCCGTAGCGCATTCGCGCCGCACTACCTCTCGCACGTCTCTCTCTCTCTCTCTCGTTCACCCATACCTCTCGAGCTCTCTCTCCCTCATGGAACACCATGAGGTGCACGCGCGCAGATACCGCATATTTTGCATTGAGCGCTTCTTTTATTTGGCCCGTCTTGTTTGAAGTTTTTAAACCCAAAGCTTACGATGAATGGTACAGCAGCGGCCGGTGCAGTCGACATGTTTGTTTGTTGTCCTCTCATGTGTGGCCACGCGCACGTAGTACGTGTTATGTAGGCAGGTTTTAGGTAACGGGTCGGTCGGAGGGAGGGGAATAACAGAGAGCTCATCAGACGTTTCCTAAAAATAAACATTGTTCACGAGTCCCGCAGCTCGAGTCCGAGTCGAGTCTGAAGTCTTTCGAGGACGAGTCTCAAGTCGAGTCTGAAGTCACTGTGTGTGCGACTTAAGTCGCACTCGAGTCCGAGTCTCAAACTCGAGTCCCCATCTCTGACTCAGCCTCTTCTAGTGGACTAACAATTAGTCGACTATTAAGGGGCAGCCCTACAGTTAGCGGTGCGTGAAAATAAACCCAGAACTGTATAGAACATGAAAGTGCGTTAAACTTGAAGCTGTTGAATAAATAAAGCCAGCAGACATCTGCAGAATGTTTTGCTTCCCTTTTACCTGACATGATCTGTCATTAACGCTCCAGAAAGCAATTGCATAAACCGGCATAACATTAAGTTTGATTCTTGTGCACGCACTAAAACATGGACTGTTCCATTCGTTGGTGGAAGACGTGATTGTGCAGAACTGCTTGTGTTTCAGTGTGTGCAGATGGAATAAAACTATCCGTAACATTTCTCTGCCGATTGTCTCTGCACGCTTCAAATCTCAATGTACTGCACAACTGCTCCTGATGTAAAACGCAATGAACTGATTTGGCGGTTTGACAGTCTCGCATTATTCTGCAGATTTAAATGTGACACATGAAGTTATTTTAATACATTTTACAATGTTACTTTTCATGCAGGTAAAGTTTCTGAATGTCTGTACTCTGAATGTCTGGAAAGTTTTACGTTCCCTCGAGAAACTTCACGTTCGCTCAAAAAACTTCAATGCAAATGCATTGAAAAATAATTTGTCCTTCCATCTATTTGTCCATCACCATGTACTGTTAGGGTCTCTGCGTGTTTGAATAACAATACAAGATCAACTGCATCTAAAATATACATTTATTAATGTACAATTTAGCTGGACTCTCGTTTATGAAAAAATGAGGAAGAAATAAAGTGCATTTTAATGTAATGAAATACAGAGGAGACTAACGAAAGCAAAATAATTAGCACTTTTTGTAATACTGAAACTAATAAATCATTAGCAAGTGTAAAATAAGTACATTGTTTATATTGTGGTGTGTGTTTCACTCATTTACTAATTTGTATGCATGTGTTTGCTGTCTGTCATACACATACACATGCATACACATAATACATTATCGACTTCTATAATTCAATGTTAGGCTGCATAGATTAGGTCAGCCGGAACTGGGAACACTTCCCTTAAATCCAGATGTACTCGTTACATCATAAGAAGAATGGCATCTACGCTAACTTTAGTGTCTTTGTTTATCCCGAGGTTTTCCTGCAGCCTGCCGGATCCAGGCCGTATCCAGATCTGACGAAGGAGATTCGCCTGGACCCGATGACAATGCAGTGCTGAAGTGTCAACTATCCTCTCCCTATGGAGGATCCCTTTCCCACTCTACAGATAAAGCGTTGTTGAAAATCCGGTTCGCGTACCCCGAAGTGATAAAATAAAATTCTGTATCAAATTTATAGGCAAGACAAGTAGTTTGTTTAGGCATGGTTGGTAGGGAAATTACAAACCTGCGCACACATATTCAAACGAATATAACTATAGAATCAATTGTTAATGCGCATGTGAACGCCATCAGGTCACAGGTTCGCGTTTAAAGTCTGTTTAGAGAGAACGCTGTCGTCTTAGTGGCCCCTAATGTAATAACAAATGATAATTTTGCTGGAAGTGAATCAATCAAAACCAACTTTAGCCGGAAATAACATTATTCAAAATCGCTATAAAGCCAAAACAATCTCTGTTACCGTAAATTGTATGTTTATCTCTGTAAAGCTGCTTTGAAGCAATCTCCATTGTTAAAAGCGCTATATAAATGAAGATGACTTGACTTGACTTGACTTGTCACAATAGTTCCAATTTTTAAAAATCACATGTAACAGTTTGGCAACAGTTCTTCTAACCCTAATTGATGGAGTGAGCTTTTCATTTCTTAAACAATCATATAGGAAGACACATCATGGCCATATTCCAGGATGACAATGTCAAGATTCATCAGGCTCAAATTATGAAAGAATGGTTGGGAGAGATCATGAAGAATCATTTTCACACATGAATTGGCACCTCTGAGTCCAGACCTTAAATTCATTGAAAGACTTTGGGATGTGCTGGGAAAGACTTTACAGAGTGCTTGACTCTTGCATTGTCGATGCAATATCATGACCAAAAATGTATGCACCTCTTGATGGAAATAACATAACATCACAACATTTATTTCCATCAAGAGGTGCATCAATTTTCCAATAATACCACTCACAGTTGACCGTGGAATAACTACCATCGATGAAATTTCATGAACTGACTTATTGCAAAGGTGGCATCCTATCACAGTACCACTCTTGAATTCACAGAGCTCTTCAGAACGACCCATTTTTCATCCATTTGTAAATGCAAGTTGCTGGCTAAGTGCTTGATCCAAGCAAGTAATTTTGCATTTAAAATACGTCTAATAGCATGTAATAGCCATCCAAAAACAGCCCTGATGTCTAGGCTAAAACAAGGCAAAATTTGGGCTGTCAGTGAAAATGTAATAGATGTCTAAACTCAAGAATAAACACACAGGCTATGCATAGAACATGTCAAAGAAATTAAACCAAACACCTTGTAATAATTGTTGACTTTGCTAACATGATGGAATAGCATACATCTTATAAGTTATTTTGGAAAACATTACTTGTAACCAAATTCAAGATCATATACTATATCGGGTCTATAGTTAACCTAGACGTTGAAACGCTTGAATTCAAGAATTAAGAGGTGTGTCCAGAAACAAAGACTAGTATGCTTTATATTAAAATACCTTTTCAGTCTTTCTACTTAAAAATGTCATGTGTAAAGTGTGTTACCATTTACTTGTAATTATTAGTCAAATTTACTAGTGATTCATAGACTCAAGTAAATCAATTATAACAACTAATTTTTCCAGTGCAATTAGTTGTGTTTACGAGAAAAAGAATAAAAATACTATTTAAATATTGAAGACACTGAAAATACACTGCACGCGTTGCATTGCGGGTGGTTAGTAGACCCAGGTATTTGACATTTCACACTGAAAAAAATGGGAACCTAAAAATGGGAACATCTCAATTAACTGATATTATTCAAGTAAAACTTGTTATGTAATATAGCTGAATCAACCTAACTATTTTAATTAATACCACCAATACTATGTGGTACTTAGACTTCCAAATAACCAGCTAATTTTTCAGTACAGATTTTGTTTTATAACTGCACTCTTTCCCATAATGAGGCAAATAGCACTTGGATGTAATTGTGTTAATGAATAGGCAGCTGCATACATTCATCTACAAATATTTTATATCACATTTTGAGTTGATTTATAAGTAAAATACACTTACTGCTTTCTTGTTTTTGACAGGTAAACCCCCGTTGGTCTTAATGATAAATGTGCACAGTTTCACATCTTCAGGATGAGTGCACTTTTCCTGTGGCAGAGGTAATAAGAATTTAATTCAGCATGTGGTCGACATTACATTTCAAAGACAGCATGGAGCCTTGAAAATCATTCACAGGTATATTCGATGTCTCTTGATGACACACAATGCAAATAAATCCACTGAACACAAAAGAGCCTTTCTTGCACTAAAAGGGGAATGAAAAAGTGATTGCTTCAGTAAATTGTAAGTACCAAAAAAAGTCATTGGGGCTCTTTAAAACTATGGCTTGAACCCATTGATCCAAAGTGGCCATTAAACACAGCAGCTGCAGGAAATCGATGATGAAAGAGCGCGAAGGTCAGAAGAAAGAAATAATTGAAATAATTCAGTATGATGATAAAAATAAAATACGAATGAAGCCAGTATAGCCTATAATATACACAATCTGCTCCGACACAGATTGCATGGGGAATTGTTTAAAAACCTGTTTAAAATGTCTTCTAATTGTTGGCATGGTGATGGTTTCATTTGCTTTAATGGCTTTACTCTCACAGCGTACAGTGGGTAATGCATATTCAACATCAGGCTAAGGCAATGCCCCCATAACTAAATACACAGTGGAGATACTGAAAGACTGTTAGTTATCTGGACTTATCTGGACACATTTGAAAAAGCAACATTGTCTCTACATGTTGGCCTTCCGTTGTGAAAACTGAGCTTTTTGAAGACACATACATTTGTAAACACCATTTTTGCTTTGTAGTGTGGAAATGGAGGAAATGTACCAATTGATATCTGTTTATACCGTTGTCCCTGCTATGTGCTATTCATGTTCACAGTGTTGCTAAAGATAAATGTTACTATTTTCATATTACATTCTTGAAAAAAATGACAGACAATTAATTGCTGTCCTACAACATTGTGTTTTAGACCACACATGGAATAGCAATTGAGTGCGACCTGGACGTACCAGTAAGTGGTGGGATATTTAGCTAATAAAATGATTGTTCCAGAAAGAATAGCGTGAGAAATTCATCTCAGTCAGTTTGTATTAAGTTTTACACATACACAATGATTTAAAGTTTCTGACATTTCAGTGTGGATGAGAAACGTATGGCAAATGCTTGAAAATGCAAGTGTGGACAGAGATTTTGAATTGAAATTTGCATTTCGATATTTCCGAATGTATCCGGAATCCGGATTTATGAAGATGTAGCCTAAAGATAAAACTGTTAATTTTCATTTGCATCCCTATTAAGATATATATATCTGCCATTAGCCAAAATCAAGAATTAAATTAAACCTAAAACTGAACAGAATACTGTACATAACACTGATTCCAGGGGTGAGTAAAGGTTTTGGGGTTACTGTATCTCAAGTAGTGTCCTGCAGGTCCTGTTAAAACCCCAGAGATTCTAATTAACACTGACAGATGCTCCCCATATTTTCTAGAAAAAGGCCAAGTCCTTTTGTAAAATGACACTGACACCATGTCGTGTCCTGTGGGGAGTGCTTGGTATTTTCCCTGAGGCTACTGTCTCACATAGTGCACATCACCTTGAGAGAGGCCTGAGCATCAGCATCTGTCTTCTGGCAGCTCCGTTTAGTGTTGACCCGTTTCCGGCGCTTGCGAAGAACCACGTAGATCTGCACGTAGACGAGGAGGGTGATGATGAAGGGCACGTAGAATGACATGATGGAGGAGTAGACAACAAAAGAGGGGTTGGCGATTTCACACACGGCACCATCCCGTGTAGCTAAGAGAGAGAGTGAGGAAAATATGGTTACACAATTAATTATGGTTGCAAAACTAATTAGTTCAGTGAGGCACTGGCAAATGCATGTATGGGCAAATTTCCCATAACAAGTGCAAATTAGCTCCAGATTATAATTAGATTAGAAACATACTGGAACATTTATAACAATATGACAACAGTGTTGAGTGAGCTAAAAATTTTGTTATGGAGTATAAGTATACATAGGATGCATTAAAAAGTGACAGTAAATAACTTTCTGATTTTATAAAAGATTCTTATTTCAAATGAATGCTTTATTTTGATCAAAGAATCCTGAAAAAATGTTTCACAGTTTCACAAAATATTAAGCAGCATGTTAACTGTTTTTAATGTCTGCCGCATTTCCATCGCAGGAACTTTCCCTATGGGAACTAGGAACTTTGTTTATGAACTTCCGGGGATGGGACTTGGGCTCTGAACATGCTGATCGGTTGAGTTAATGCCGCATATGCATCTGAGAGACAGAGCGAGCGCATGTTTATGTAGATGTATTTGGAAGTCATGTTTTGCCATTGGCCCTCAGCATATATATTTTTGAAATGACGTCATTGTATGTTCCACATTGTATGTTCACAGCGCCATTTCATTGCTGTTTTTGATCCGGCAATTTTTAATTTACAAATTAGGCACTGGTCATTATATACAAACCTGTCGTTTACCTGTGTTATTTAATCCAAACAGCAGGGGGCAAGAAATAGCGAACGAAAGCACCCAAACCACTGAGATCATTACAGTGACACGTCTCTTGGAGCTGTAGCGTGTGTTGTACAACATCGGCATGGCAACAGCCGTGTACCTGCACAAGAAGCCCAGAGGGAAGGAAATGAAAAGGGGGTGGGTGGGATAGGGTGATTTCAAATTTAAGCAGACAAAAAAGAGTAAATAACAATGTTGGTCACACCTGACCAGCTGCCTCTGCTACCAGCTGCCATTATTGTGCCATCATCTCTTTTCCTTTTGTGACTGTAACCTCATCATCATTTCCAAAGGTTCAGGGATCTTCCTACTCTAACAAAATGCTTGAGTTTACCAAGCATGCATTATGCTCTCTGAAAGTGTTGTTTATTAGTGCTCTCACATTGTTTTAGCACCGAATTTAGCACTCAATGTAATTTGCATGGCAGAATTCCCTGATCTTTGCAGCAAACTACTGTAATCTGGCCTGCTTTATTTTGCATAATTGCTCCAACATTGAAAAAGTGCCTGTTTATAATGTTCTTTTTTATCAAATGGTCATCACTTAATGAATTACTGCTGACATGATCAACAAAACTGTAGACAAACATCTATTTTTAACTAACTAATGCCTTCTTGACTTTCTGTGGGCAGGAATAGCGCGTTTTAAAGCAATTTAGCACCTGATTAAACTGAATTACAGGTGTTTAGAGAAAAAGACAGGTGTTTAGTGAAGTCATGCCTCTGTATAATCTACGTCATTTTTCCCCTCACTATTTTTAACAACTGACTCAATTGACAGGTTTAAACAACATCTGGAGGCTAGCACAGCTGTTAACATCAACAGGATCCAACAAGTCAATTGCATGTCAATTCCATACAACCCCCCCCACATCTATGGTATTCTTGTCATTTAAAAAAATCCTTACACTTTTCCTGAACTGATACAAGAACCTACCTGTCAATACTAATAGCACAAAGATTAAGAATGCTCGCCGTGCACATCATGACGTCCAATGTGACGAAAATGTCACAATGGATCTTACTGAAACGCCACTCCCCCACCACCTGCAACATAGACACATGTGCATGCACACAATAAGTTTTGAAAAGACAAGTTCAATTATTTACTGAGGACAACAACAACATTAATACTTGTCAGATAAATAAATTAATAATGAAGAATATATAATTCACTGGGAGAACCTTAGTACAAATGTTGTTCTAAAAAAAAAAAATATAGGCCTAGCGGTACACATGCTGCATGGTACACTGATGAAAAGTTAAAAAAGGCTACATTTATTTGTTCAAAAATACAGTCAACAATACTATTGTGGAATATTATTAGGGATGTGCCCATATCCGAATACCTTATTGGTAAGATGATCCGTAATGGCTTCTACCGAATAACAGGCGAGCAAGGGGATAGCATAGCATGATATTATACATAAACATATGAAGGAGGTTCAACTTTATGAATGAAATGAGCAATGCGTGATTGCAAATCAAATAGTTGATTTGCCGTCTCACTGTTGCTGTCTAAGTGCGTATCTCAGAAATCAGAGCTTGGACAAGAGTAATTTCTACTAAACTACTACATCGTACACATTTTCTATATTTGATATATGTCTATTTTAATGTCTTAAATCTTGTACGATATGATACACGAATGAGTGTAAACTTTATGAATGAAACAAGGACTAATTTAACGGCTTTGCCATTTGCACTCTCTCCCTGGGACAGCAAGCATTTATGTAGGCCTTTTCTTAAAAAATTGGTTAGATTTTCATTTGTATGCATACTAAAAGTTGTTTTAAAAATGCTTAACCACTGAAATCTTCCATGTTCTACAATCAGCTATTTTATATAGAGTCCTCATATTTGACCTTTAAGGACACCAATTTTCTTTGTGAATGAATAATGTATCGTAAATAAATAAATGTTCTTCCTTAAAATACAGGGGGCATAAGTCAGAACACCCCTTAAGTTAAATTCCCATAGAGGCAGGCAGATTTGTATTTTTAAAGGCCAGTTATTTCATGGATCCAGGATACTATGCATCCTGATAAAGTTCCCTTGCCCTTTGGAATTGAAATAGCCAAAAGATGATTTTTTTTTATTCTTCTTTTTAGTCAACTTTAGCATGGGTGTATTTATTTATGCTAAGCACTGTGTATATATATCTTTTATTTTATTTTTTTACATTTAGTATTATTTGGTTTAATTAGAAGATATTTCAATAAATTTTATCATTTAATATTAGAGTTTTTACCAGGCATATTTATTAAATATGAAGGGAAAGAAACGGGCTTCTCATGAACTTTCACAAACTTCCCTGCCCACTTCTGGATTTATCTGAAAACAGATGTGGCAGGATAAGTGATTATGGTTTTGGCAAACCAATGAGGTTGAAGCGACCGTACTATTTAAGGACCTTTTTTGGCAAGTGTGCATGTGTCCTGGTAATTCTGGGTTCTCCTCTCCCTGGCATTTCCATTTCATTCCCGTTCGGTTCCCATTCCTATTCAGGTACATATGTTGAGACTGATGGTGTAATGATGTGAACAGTTTGAGGCTAATATGCTCTATTTATAGTTTAATTAGAGCAGAGCTGGTGACATTGGCGTTGTGGCAAGATTCTGGCTGAGTTTGCTCTCAGGTACGTTTAGTATTAGTTTGTTGATTTGCTCCCAAGTATTTTTTTTTTTTTTTTTTTTTTTTTTTGTGTGTGCTTTGCGCTGAATCTTTTCTTTTTCTTTTGCTAACAGTGCAAGTCAAATTGTGTTTCTGTTTTTGTTAATTTGGTTTTGATTTATTGCAGCGTTTTCTTTATTACCAATTTATTTTCTTTTTGCAACCACATGTAGTGTGGCAGGCTGTTTGGCTCAACTAGTGCATTTTATTACCTTGAACTTGTAATTTCAGGTTTGGTTTGTCACACATTTGTTGCTCTATCATTGTTTGCCATTTTATTGTAAAGTGTTTATGACTTTTACTGTATCCATTGTCATTACTCTGGTGCCACTCAGGCACTGTTTATTCACCTTGCTGTATGTGGTGTTGTCAGGGGGCCTGAGTGCTATATCTGCCACACCACAGTGTCTTGTAAATTTTACTCTTTGTTTTCTTTCTTTGATTTTTTATTTGGTTCAATTTGTGTAGTCCTTGGTTAACGTGTTTTTTTTTTCTTCCTCCAGGAGCCAGTGAGGACTCTGTGTGCAACAGGGGAGGCTAGCTGCTTTCATCCTGTGGTGTGTGCTTCACAGTGTGCTGTGTCTGCTTTCTTACGGTGTGTGTACGTGGTATTTGATTTGGTGTGAATTTAGGTGGGTTTGGATCAGCCGGCCTGCCTTGTTCCCGCTGAGCCTGGCCCTGGAGTATTGTTATTTCTATAACTTTGGGTGTTTCATGAGATCGAGAATTTTATTGATGCTGGTGAATTTATAATAAAGTAATTATTATTATTATTATTATTGTATTTATACTCACATCTCACCTTATACTGTAATTTCTTTGCCTTCAATTTGTAAAACTTACCTGTGTCCTTATTGGGAATATTTCCATGACGCTCAACCAGGGTGGCGTAGTCGGATTCATTTATTTGTGATTCATGTTTCTCTCCACTTGGGAATGCCACACAGATACAAATAATTGAGATGCCAGTGCTCCATTTTCAGTGGCCGTTACTCCAGTTTTCAGTGTTACGTACTTCAGGAATGCTGCATTGTAATTATTTTGAGTTGAAAACAGTTGATAAAAAAATAATAGTATAACAGCTATAGTAATAACAGCTGCTTTGTCTTCAGGAAGCCATTTGTCTGTCTGTGCGTGCGATGCGCTTTCGAGCTATCTCGTGTCTGGTGCAACGTCCTTGCATCAAATCCAAATGCCAGATGACATCTAGGTTCATGAGCAAGGCGTATGTGGCGGTGGGCCAGGCCAGCGGAGCCCTGCACACCATAATGGTGCTGCAGGCTTAGGATCTAATCAAGGATCTCGATCTGGGCGAGGGAGTACCTCAGGGCGAAGTCCTGGAGCTCCGCCGCCCAACAGATCTTGTCTTGCAGGCTACTAAGCAGGCGTCTCGCGCTTCAAGTTTCAGGCTTCGAGCAAAACTTAACCACTACGGAACAGACGGTGTGAGTCTGTCAGCTATCTAGGTTGTTCAGCCCCAGATTCAGTGATAGGTCAGGGATAACGGGTGGTATTTGAGCTGTGGATGTAACCTCAGGCTATTTAGTTTTTTAGATGTATGACAATGCTTTTGGCTACAGCTTAGCTCAATGGATTATTCACAAGCACAGTGAGAAGGCACTTTGTTAGTATGGCATAGTGGGTATTTCGTTCCCATAGTGTCGATTCATGACGTAGTGTAGAGTTCGAAAGGGAACGTCTAAGGTTAAGACTGTAACCCTGAATGGAAACAAGACACTGCGTCGTGTTGCCATACTTCTGGCATGCATGGATGTCTTCCTTCAGAAAATTGAAGTTGATGATGTTCTCTCTAAGTGCCCTTACATACCCTGCAGTCATGCCAGTGACGTCATCTGACCACAGTTGCCAATCAATTGTGTAGCACACGTGCTTCAGACACTGGCTCACGAGGAGCATTCCCATTGCATCAACTCATGATACAGTGTCTCGTTTCCCTTCTCAGGGAACCATAGTTACAGTTGTAATCTGAGACGTTTTGGATTAATAGTGGTGCATGAACCTAAAAAGCTTTTCAAATAAAATTAGTCATGAATAAAAAAAAAATATTGTTTATATATATATTATGTAAGGAATGTCAAGTTGTTTTCCCACAAAACCTCTCATTTAAAGCCTCATTGTGTATGGAGATAATTTAACAACCTGCTTTGGCAATACTCTTGTGAAGCCATTAACACACACAAATCAGTGTGATGACAAACAGCTCAATTTCTATAACATATTCAAGTTAGCAGTTTTACAAAGCAAAAGATTAAATAATAGCTCACATAAATGTAACAGAGCTAACAGCTCTTGAGAGGTGGGAGATATATTCATGCCTTAATAATGTTAAATGAAAGGCTATTTTCTCAATCATAAGCCCATTGATTTGAATTAATTAATGCATTATGTTTGGAAGGCATTAGCATATGCTTCATTTACTTCCTGTAATTGTACTACATTTTATATAATGTATTATGGAATTGATTGCATTCAATTCCTTACAGAGTATAATCTGATCTCTTTTTGAATTGTTCATAAATAAGAGAAAAACACATTCTGTGGTTATTTATCTTTGGTTTTACCATTTATTTCCTAATGCATGCTTTAAAGTCTACCTTTCAATTCAAGTGCATTCAACAAGCTCTTAGTGGAGCTCTTAAGCTCTTAGGACGAATTAGTAAAGAGGTACTTAACTGTATTTGAAGTATGCATACTTAAAATGCTAAGCATAGTATAAAACACTAATTGTGCATTACATATTTCTATACAAATTTTCTGGCCTTGTTTCATGCCAATCTCATGAATGCACACCTATTTGGTTTGTTTGTTTGATTTTTTTTAAGTTTCTGAGTGATTAACTTGAAACTCAAAAATAGCACTTCATGACCTGCCCCTGGAATAGACTTATTTAAAACCTCTTTTTTATGTTTAGAGGGATACATAATGGTTGTAGTTGATTATTTCACCGTGTTGTTATTGTTTGTTGCCAGTTGCAGTTCAGGCGGTTTCATTTTATCATGATGGTCCCTTTAACACATTCTGTTGACTATAAGTAACATTGCACCTGCATTTCTAATAACTCTCATTAGAGTGTTAGTAGTATTACAAAACATCGCCCCCTGATGCGCTAAACTTTATAATGGGCGACTTTAATTATTGTAGGCTTGGAAAGTCGCTAAGTAGCTTTTCACAATATGTCACCTGCCCTACAAGACATATGAAATGTTTAGGCCTCTGTTATGGTACAGTTAAAAGAGCCTACAGGTCATTTAGTAGAGCTCCCCTTGGTCTGTCCGACCATAACGTTGTTTATTTGTTTCCGGTTTATAAAACTGTCCTAAGGAGAACAAAACCTGAGCGACGTTTGGTTCCGG